AAGGTCTTCCTTTGCCGTTGATTCACCCTCCAATGGCCGCCGCGGCCGGCGCACTGCGCTGATCCGATGGCAGGAGCCAGGTGCTTCTCCTGGTCTCCCATGCGGGTGCAGGGCCCAAGCACTTGGGCCATCCTCCACTGCCCTCCCGGGCCACAGCAGAGGGCTGGTCTGGAAGAGGGGCAACCGGGACAGAATCCGGCGCCCTGACCAGGACTAGAACCTGGTGTGCCGGCGCCGCAAGGCGGAGGATTAGCCTAGTGAGCCGCGGCACCGGCCTAAATCTGGGTTCTTAATTGTTTTTCTCTAAGTTTGTTTCTTCTATGCTGTAACTGATTTTTTTATCAGTATACAAATTTCAGCAGAGTCATATCTTTCATAATATAAATATCACTACTTTGCCCTATATGGCTATTTTTAAATGTTTTAATAAGCTTGAGCTTTACTACTGAGTCCTACCAAACAGTTTTATTCATTTTTAAAATTTATATAAGGCAAACAAATTTCATGTATTTCATATGTACAGACTTAGGAGCATACTGATACTTCTCATCCTACCCTCACTCCTCCTTCTTTGTTCCTTTTTTTTTACAATGACATATTTTATTTTATAATCATAAGCTTAATCCTCCACTAAGAACTCAACAAATAGTAAGAAAAAAAAAACACTTCCTCAACAGTAGGGACAAGGGCTGTAAAAATTTTTTCCTTTCATCTTAATTATGACTTGGAGAGTTATGCAGAGATTGAGTCTTCACTTTGGGGTAAAATAATGAGGTTAAGAGGATTTTTATCTATAAATTATAGTAATTACATATTTTTGATTCTTTCCTCACAGTTAACTTCAACTCTGAATTATTGGTAACACTGTTACCAAGTACCATAAATACTCAAGGAAATAGGAGATAGTGTTCCTGTTAGGAGGTGGAAATTAACCCATCTAAATAAATTATTTGGAATTCTTTTCTAATGGAGATTGGTCTGTTATCCCTCATTAAAGTTCTGCTCCTCACAGAGTAAAATATTGGGTAAAGTAAGAAGAAAGAAGGAGGGTTGGTGCTGTGGCATAGCAGGTAATGCTGCCTGTGAGTCCGAGATCCCACACTGGCACCAGTTCATGTCCTGGCTTCTCTGCTTGCAATCCAACTTCTAGCTAATAGTCTGGGAAAAGTATTGGAAGATGAATCCAAGCTCTTGGGCCCCTGCTACGCATGTGGGAGACCCAGATGAAGCTCCTGGGCTTCTGCCTGGCCCAGTTCTGGTTATTGCAGTTGTCTAGGGAGTAAACTAGCAGATAGAAGATCTCTGTTTCCCTCCCTCCTCTCTCTCTGTAACTGACATCCCAATAAAATAAATCAATCTTTTATAAAGGAAAATATTTTAAGCAATTTCCATTTAGGGAGAAAAATGAACTTAGACTGAGAATCTGGAGGGAAGAATGGGTAAATGTTTATAAATAGGGTACTATGTTAGAGTCAGATAAGAGAAATAAGTTCTATTGCACAGTAGAGTGACAACAGACTATGATAATATACTGCATATTTCATAAAAACTAGAAGGCATTTCTAATATTTTCACTACAGAGAAAGAACAGATTATTGAGGCCGATTAAATTTGCCAATTCGAGTATTATATATGCATACATCAAAACATCAAAGGTACTCCATATATATACAATTCTATGTAAAATATAAACACATAAATAAAAGCATAAAATGTGGATCTTGTTTATTGAAGATTCTTAGCATGTACAGAAGAGATTTAGAATCTAGATTCCAGTATTTTGTAACAAGCTCATAGGTAATGAAGAGAAGTTAAAAGACCAATAAAATCCCATTATGATTTTAAAGATTTATTTATTTTATTTGAAAGGCAAAGTTAGAGAGAGAATAGATATTCCATCTTCTGGTTCACTCCCAAGTACTCACAACAACCAGGGCAAGGGTAGGCTGATGTCAGGAGCTTCATCTGGATCTCCCATTGGGTGACAAGGGCTGAAGTACTTGAGCCATCCTCTGCCATCCTCCAAGGTGCATTGGCAGGGAGCTGGATCTGAAGTGGAGCTTCTGGGACTCGAACTGGAGCCCATATGCTTTGCAGGTGGTAGTTTAACCTGCTATGCCACAATGCCAACCCCATGATCCCATCATAGTTTTAAAACATCCATACATATATAAAATATGCGGCCTTTAAGCATTTTTACTGAACGATAAAAGACAGTAAATGTCAAAATACTTCACAAGTATTATATTTTCAAGTGATTTTCTTTATGAAAAATGTCAGTATTCACTCATCCATCAGCTTCTAGTAAAATCTACAGTGTACCCTAATGCACACTGTTGAGTATTCCATAAACCTTAATCAAGACAGATTGCTTTAACATCCTTATCTATTCCAAACTCCACCTGCTTTGAAGAGTTTATAGTTTCAGAATCCTATGTCAAACTCCAAATATATGACCTTATCTCAAAATCAAAGTTTACATGTAAGACAAGGATATCAGCATTTCAGTTACAATATGTGAATTTCCATATCTCTAAATCAGCTGTCCAAACAGGGCACTGATTTTTGTTTCTTTGGCATTTATATTTTAATTTTTAAAGATTCATGTATTTGAATTGCAGATTTAGAGTTAGGGAAACCAACAGAAGGGCAGAAACAGAGGCAGAGAGAAATCTTCCATCTGCTAGTTCACTGCCCAATTGCTGCAAGGCCAGGACTAGGTCAGTCTAAATCCAGAAGCCAAGAAATCCACCTGGGTCTGCCACATAGATAACAGGGGCCCGAATACTTGCGCCACCTTGCACTGCCTTCACAGTCACATTAGCAGGTATCTAAGTCAGAAAGAGAGCAGCCAAAACTCAAAGTAGCACTCCAAAAAGGGATGCCAGCATCTCAAGTGGCAGTTCAACCCACTGATCCATGATGCTGGCCACGGGTACTTTATAATATTAAAATAAAAATGGTTAGCAATAATTAGGTATGGAAAACAAGGCATTGGTAATGCTTGCCAAGTGCCTTATTTTACAGAAAGGACTGTGAGTTTCAGAGGGATATTGTGATCAGGAAAAACTCAAGAAAGTTGAGATTGGAAAACAGCACCCACTATTTATGCTTTTACAATTCATATTTCTTTTAACAATTTTTATTTATTTACTTCAAAAGCAGAGAAACAGAGAGGAAGAGAGAAACAGATATTCGTCCCATTGGTTCACTCCCCAAATAGCTGCCACGGCCTGCTCTAGGGCAGGCAGAAGCCAGGAGCCATGAACTCCTTCCTGAACTTCCACAGGGGCTGCAGGTGCCCAACTACTTATGTCATCATCTGCTACCTTCTCAAGTGCATCAGCAGGAAGCTTGATTGTGAGTCAGTCTCCATATGGGCACTCCAGTATGGGATGCAGGTTTCACAAGTGGCAGCTTAACCTGCCATGCCACAATGCTGAAACCAATGCACAATTCTTAGTCAAAATGAATGTACTAAAAGGTTTTTATCATGCTAACTGAGCAGTATAATGAGGCAATATCTTATCAGTCACTACGAAAATTTGCCCAATCAGTAAAGTAAGAAAAAATAACTCATAAGTTCCTTTGGTGATGTTTGCAAATGTTTGACTTTTTGTTGAAAAGTACTAGGGATTACATAAAATGATAACTGGTAGCCTAAAATGACAAATATCATCTCTAGATACAAAGTATGAAAATCTGATTTAAGGCATCTTCCTAAAAGAGACCAAATTTAGTATAATCATAATACTTATACCTAGATCTTTGCTTTAAACCAATTTAACAGCTTTGGCTTTGTTTTTGAACATTTTATTGTGTAATAAACTAAATTTCAATTTGCATATTTTTAAACTTCCTCATAGCAGAGAATATTCTTTTCTCTTTCTTCTATCAAATATTCATATTCAGTAAAAAGTGAAGACTTCAGAAAATACATCTCCTCAACCTCAAAGACCTTCAGCAGAGTTAAAGGTTAAACATTAATTTCAAGAGAGGCAAACTGATTTTAAGGTCCTTATTAGCCAGGTAAAACAGGAAATGCATGATTCTTGATGACAAATGCATAATGGTTTAGGCTCCCATTGTATGCTATGCTTTAGGCATTCTTCCACAGAATTACACAAAATGAAAATTTTAATCCTATTTATTCAGCTGTCACAAAAATCGTTACTTAACCAGATGAGAATGTTAAATTTGTACTTTAGGTTTAACACTTAAGTTTCCTTTTACCTTCTTCCTCACCAGTCTCATTTTTCAGTTACGCTTGCTTTTCAAAACATGTTAGTTGCCTTTATGGTGTCCACAGGTCTTTATAGAATTTAGTGGGTAGATTTTGATCTTAGGAATCCTGGGCAACATTTGGTACATATAGAGCATGAAAATAACCCATCCAGGTACCAACGAACAGGCCAAAGGATTTGCTACATCACACATCAGTCACGGTTCAAAGCAAGAGGACAGTGCTTTTCTAGTACAGAGAGAAAGCATCCTCTGGCAGAAGGAAGGAATTGAGACAAAATGCCAGTCCTTGCAAAATCACCATGACTTTCGCCAGCTCAATTTAAATCCCATGTCCTTGTTGAATTTGTCACCCTCGACTTGGAGTGGCCTGGAGAAACAAAAAGGATCGAAGAGGAATTGTGGAATTGGGTTCCAGTGGGAAATATGAGAGTGGCAATTTGGTATCAGATGGTCAATTCTTGCCTTGACTGATATAATCAAAATGAATGGAAGAATCAAACCAGGAAGCATGTGTTAGTCGAATAGGGATGGGTGGTTAGAATCATTAAAGACCTAGTATGTCAGCCCCCAAAGGTCCTCAGCTGGCCCTGCTTTTCTTGTAGTCCTGTGAGAGAGAAACCCCACCCTTCTCTAAGGAGTGAAGGCAAGAAACTCTAGGTGAGAAATTCATCTTTTAATAAAGCATTTTCCTCTCTCTCTCCGCCACTGCAGTCGCCACGCGCCGAACCCCGCTCGGGCTTCTCGGCAGAGGGCTTGCCCCACCGTGTCTACCGCCGGCCACTGAAATCTGTCCTACGAAATGTTCAGGAGAGTGCAGGGTGTTTGCTTCAGAATGTATACGGAGGGTGAAGCTAAGAAAATAGGACTGGTTGGCTGGGTGAATACCAGCAAAGGCATTGTGACAGTTCAAGTTCAAGACCCTGAAGACAAAGCCAATTCTATGAAATCCTGGCTGAGCAAGGTTGAGAATCCTGGTTCTCGCATTGACTGCACAAACTTTTCTAATGAAAAAAGCATTTGCAAACTTGAATACTCCAACTTTAGAATTCGATATTAAGAGAAATACAAATTATAATGCTTACATTGTAAAATAGACATCATATGTTCTTAAGTCTACATCATAAAATAATAGTAGCAGAGTAGGGTAAAAATAAGAATGTTTATTTCTGAAATGCATAAAATTATACATGTTACTAAAAATGGCTGACACAAATGATTTTAATCAATTATGCTTTAGTAAGCAAAAATAATATTCTCATACTTAACGTGTTATAATAAGTTTGTCTTGTTGAATCTTTAATTTTGATGAATATTAAAATATACATGTTAAGGGCCTGTGCTGTAGCATAGTAGCCCAAGGTGTTGTAATACCATATGGGTGCCGGTTCAAGACCCAGCTGCTCCATTTCTGATCCAGCTCTCTGCTATAGCCTGGGAAAGCGGTGGAAGATGGCCCAAGTCCTGAGTCCCTGCACCTGTGTTGGAGGCCCGGAAGAAGCTCTGGGCTCCTGACTTTGGATTGGCGCAGCTCTGGCTGTTGTGGACAACTGGGGAGTGAAACAGTGGATGAAAGACCTCTCTCCCTCCCCCCCACCCTTCCTCTCTCTCTCTCTGCCTCTCTCCTGTGTAACTCTGACTTTCAAATAAATAATTCTTAAAAAAACAATATACATAAAATAATAATCATTTACAAATTCTTCAAATATTTTTATCTGAAGTGAATTAAAAAACCTGAATAATGTTATTAAAGTTGAGTGATTTGTTATTAAAGTCTTCAAAAAAAACCAGTGGTTACATATAAATGTATATGATGATGAATATAACCATAAACTAATACCAATAGAGTTCATATTTACAAAAAAATAAAGCATTCCCTGGTTCTATGGCATCTTAGCAGGTAGAAATGTGGGTATAAACATAAATAACCACTCTCTGCCCAGTTTCTCAGAGCAGCATCTCTGTACTTCCTTCAATGAAAAGAAACAAAAACACAAGTGAACTATTTGCATTTTAAACACAGGGTGCTATCCTAAGTGAAAACTGCTTAGGTTAAATGCTCTCTCAATGTTATTGTCAAAGAATGCATAAATCTATTTTCCTTCTATGCTTGAAATTGATTAATGTTGAAACATATTCATTCATCTTAAAGACTCAGTATATTTAGAAACTTAAAGACTTCCATGTTAGGATTCAAGATTTAATGTGCAAAATTTTCTGCTCTAAAGGTGTCTGCAATTTTCCTGGCCATAACTTCATCTCATCAGAACTGTCTGTACTTGATTGCATAATGTACTCTCGCATAGTTTCTAGCTTTAAGTGCTGGCAAAACATTTTTATGTAAACAAATAACTACATATATGTCAGTTATCATTTGAAAGCAAGTCATAAGAATGTAATTTGTATCATAGGCTTTTTCCAAGCTTTTTGTTTTTTCCACATTTTAGTAGTTAGCAGGTTTTTCCACTGTGTACCCCATGCTAAGAGACTGAGAATAATTCTAGATTCTTCATTCTCTCTCATCCCTTACACTCTATCATTAACTATGCTCTATTGATTCTACTGTCCCAAAATCTTTTCAATAAATCTTCTCAACTTCTACTCCCATTGACTTTACTTATGCCCTCATTATTTCTCACCTGGAGTTCTTTAATAGCTTTCCACTTTCCCTAACTCCAACACTCAATCTATCCAGTATAAAAAAGAGCAATATTTCTACAGTAAGGAGCAAATTAGTAAATCACCTCAAATCTTTTAATGGTATGCTATTATCGAGATAGTCAAGCCCAAACACTTTTGCATGGAGAGTAATTACTGCTTCTTCCCAGCATTCCTCTCAACCTTCATCTCCTCACATGTACCAAGAGTTCTAGGCATAATAAAGTTTGTATATTCTTATATATACTGCATTTTCTCTTTTTAAAAATTTTTATATTCTGCAAGGGTTTATTAGTTTTTATTAATATGTAAGAACTGTACATATTTTTAGAGTAGGGTGTGCTATTTTTACACATACACACATACATAGTGTTTATAGATGAAATCACAATAGTTAGCATTTCCATCTGCTTATCACTTTATAATATAACAAACCACTGTGAAATTTAATCACACTGGTATGTTCTGGAACCCTGGAACATATTCCTTCTATCTATGTTTAGGTACTCTTGCACAACTTCTTTATCTCTTATTTATTTTTATACTCTAGTAGTAATTATTCTAAATACATATCATTTTTTAACTTTTATTTAATGAATATAAATTTCCAAAGTACAGCTTATGGATTACAATGGCTTCCCCCCCCCATAATGTCCCTCCAACCCACAACTCTCCCCTTTCCCACTCCCTCTCACCTTCCATTCACATCAAAATTCATTTTCGATTCTCTTTATATACAGAAGATCAATTTAGCATACATTAAGTAAAGATTTCAACAGTTTGCTACCACACAGAAACATAAAGTGAAAAATACTGTTTGAGTACTAGTTATAGCATTAAATCTCAATGTACAGCACAGTAAGGACAAAGATCCTACATGAGGAGTAAGTGCACAGTGACTCCTGTTGTTGACTTAACAAATTGACACTCTTGTTTATGGCATCAGCAATCACCCTAGGCTCTTGTCATGAGCTGTCAAGGCTATAGAAGCCCCCGGAGTTCACTGACTCTGATCATATTTAGACAAGGCCATGGTCAAAGTGGAAGTTGTCTCCTCCCTTCAGAGAAAGGTGCCTCCTTCTTTGATGACCTGTTCTTTCCACTGGGATCTCACTCGCAGAGATCTTTCATTTAGGTTTGTTTTTTCCCCCAGAGTGTCTTGGCTTTCCATGCCTGAAATACTCTCATGGGCTTTTCAGCCAGATCCGCATGCCTTAAGGGCTGATTCTGAGGCCAGAGTGCTGTTTAGGACATCTGCCATTCTATGGGTCTGCTGTGTATCTCATTTCCCATGTTGGATCATTCTCTCCCTTTTTGATTCTATCAGTTAGTATTTGCAGACACTATTCTTGTTTATGTGATCCCTTTGGCTCTTAGTCCTATCATTATGATCAATTGTGAACAGAAATTGATCACTGGGACTAGTGAGATGGCATTGGTACATGCCACCTTGATGGGATTGAATTGGAATCCCCTGGTATGTTTCTAACTCTACCGTTTGAGGTAAGTCAGCTTGAGCATGTCCCGAATTGCACATCTCTTCCCTCTCTTATTCCCACTCTTATATTTAACAGTGATCACTTTTCAGTTAAGTTTCAGCACTTAAGAAGAATTGTGTATTGATTACAGTATTCAACCAAAAGTAATAAGTAGAACAAACAAAAAAATACTAAGAGGGATAACATATTAAGTTGTTCATCAATTTTTTCTTTAGTTTCACACTTGAGAGAGAACAAATTATATTTGTATTGCTGCATCTGGCTTATTCCACTTAATGTGCTCCAGTTTGATCCGTATTGCTGCAATGTTTTTTCTTTACAGCTAAATACTATCATAGTGCATATGTGTCTATCCACATTATCTTTATCTACCAATGGATGTCTAGGTTGATTCTGCATCTTGCCTCCTGTGAATAGTGCTATAGTGAACACGTGAGTTCAAGTGTCTCTTTCACATATTGACTTCACTTCCTTCAGATATATACGCAGAAAAGGGATAGTTAAGTCATATGCTTCATATATTATTAGTTTTTTGAGGAACTTCCATACTGTTCTCCATAACAGCTATACTTATATAAAGTATAAGATTCCCCTTTTCCCTACATTATAATCAGCATTTATTTTGTTTAATTACCATTCTGAGTGACATCTCATTGTGGTTTTAGTTTTTTATTTTCCTGATGACTAATAACACTGAGCACTATTTCATATATGTTGGCTGTCTTCATTTGAGAAGATACTTCCAGATATCATTTGTCTATATTTAATTGAATTTTTCATTAAGATTTTTTATTTCCTTAGGTCTTTTGCTCCATTTTGAATGGATTCTTATATAGTGTAAGAGGTTCAAGAAGTAAAATTTAACCTGCAAATAAATATCAAGTTTCCCCAATATTGTTTATTAAGGAGGTAATCTTTTCTCCAGTGTATGTTTGTTGGAACCTTTGTCAAGTATCAGTTTGCTGTAGATTTATTGGTTTATTTCTGAGATCTCTCTTCTGTTTTATTTTTTTAAAAGATTAATTTATTTGAAAGTCAAAGTTACAGAGAGAGAGGAAAGGCAGAGAGAGAGAGAGAGAGAGAGAGGGAGAGAGAGAGAGTCTTTCATCCACTGGTTCATTCCCCAATTGATGGCAACAGCCAGAGCTGCATCAATCTGAAGCCAGGAGCCAGGAGCCTCTTCTGGGTCTCCCATGTAAGTGCAGGAGCCCAAGGACATGGGCCATCTTCTACTGCATTCCCAGGCCATAGCAGAGAGCTGGATCGAAGTGGAGCAGCCTGGTCATGAACCAGAGCCCATATGGGATGCTGGCTCTTCAGGCCATGGCGTTTACCTGCTATGCCACAGTGCCGGCCCCTCTCTTCTGTTTTATTGGCCTGTGCATCTCTTTCTTAAAACTTTTATTTAATAAATATAAATTTCAAAAGCACAATTTTTGGATTATAGCGGTTTTCCCCCCATAACCCTTCTCCCACCTGCAAACCATCCCATCTCCTACTCCCTCTCCCATCCCCTCTTCATTAAGATTCATTTTAATTATCTTTATATACAGAAGATCAACTTAGTATATACTAAGTAAAGATTTCAACAGGTTGCACATACACATCTCTATCACATTGTTTTTGTTAGTATGGCTCTGTAATACATTTTAACATTAGATATTATTGAACTACTACTCATTTGAGAAACCAGGTTTGAGTTTCACGCTCCTGGATGTGGTCTGGCTTTGCACTGAATGTCATGGGCATTTGGGGAGTGAATGAGCAGATGAAAAATCCTCCTCTTTCCCTTTGCTTTTCTAATATTTGTTATTTTAGGTATTGTGATGCTTCTATATTATCTTTTTTTATTAGTATGTCTTAGTTTTTTGGTTCAAGGTTGTGTTAGCTATTTGGGGTTTTT